CTCACCACCAAGTGGGGCTATATATTTTTTGTTCTCCAGATGAGTGCAAGGAGAGGGAGAGGATACGACAGGCCTAGTTTTGTTCATTATAAATGCTGGCTATATACTGTCCGTGGTGTGCTACAAGCACAAGGATGGCCATGAGTCAGAGAGCACAGTGTGTGAAATCCGTGAACTGAAAAGCAATGAGTTTATAGCTTTGGCTTCTGTTTGTCTAGCAGATGTGGGGAAGGACTTGTACACAGAGGAATCCGAACAGGGAACCTATGACTCCAGGACGGACCAGTCGCTTCTTATCCAGAAAACTACCATCCGTTCAAAACGAGAAGCCCTCACGGAGTCACTGCAGGTACGCTCCTCTGTTCTTCTGTGTGTCCTTCAGAGGGGAGCTTCTTGGTCTCCAGAGCAGCCGAGGAATCTCGGAGGTTTGAAATGGATTCCTTTCCTACTGGCTATCAGGCTGCATCTTCTATACTCAGGTTTCCCATTGAGTCATTCTGCTCTGCCACGTGTGACTGGGCTTTCATCACGGTGTGCTGTCGCTGCTTAACCTTTTGTAATGGGGAGCAGATGGACAGAAGAATGCTTCCAAAATCCTGGAGGGTAAAAAGCGGAGCTAGTGCTTCTAGCATTGTTTTCTAAGCCATTGTTACAGAATAAAAAAACAACACCTTTGTGTCACAGATTTTCCCCTCCCTTATCAGAATTAAACCAGGAAAACTCTTTTGCATTTTCTCAGCTCAGATTCTCAAGATTCTCTTGGTGCTCTATCAATCCATAAAGGACAGATGCCTTATTTGTCTATGTAAATAATTCATATTAATTTATTTAGCTGATGCTTTCTCCAAATGAAATTATGTTTACTGTATACCTATTATGAACACATGTGTTCTTTTAGAGCTGAGTATTTTACTGCAGCTTAAGGGTGTAACTTCAGTGCCCCCATCTAATTAGGAGTCCAGAGCCCTAACAAGTCCACCATTCTGCTGTAGCAGACAGATAAATAGCACATACAAAAGGTGCTTACCAAGGAGTTACCAAAGGGAGAACCCAACAAGATAGGATACCATGTTAGTTTTTTAGCTATACTTGACAGTTCCCAAAAGCTGTGGTGATCAGTGGTGTCAAAACCTCTTAATTTGAAGTCACAGTTATTACATCCCAATCAACCCATTAACCAGCCATACTCTTAAGAGATCTGGACAGCAATTGAAAGGTCTTCTTTATTCTCAGTGTGCTCCCGTTGCCCTAAAAGATCAATCCCACACACCATGAATCCAGAGCACTCCACACTGCTATCACAGAATCCTTTCTGCTAAAGATTGCCTAATTGCCTAACATTTTCTCCTTACCCCGATTGCAGCTGAAGATAGATAGATAATACTTTATGAATCCCGTAGGGAAATTGATGAAGGGGATGTTCAGCTATGAAACACAGCCTATATGCAAGTGTCTCTGCATCTCATTGGTTCAGTGTGAATGGGCAGTTTGGTCAAGGAGGTACAGTGTACCTAGACTGCTGAGCAAGAGCACCTGGCATAAAGATCACGAGGGGGATGGGCATCTTTTTGGGTTGTCCACTTCAAGGAAGCAGATCAACCGCAGATCGTCTGCAGATGAGCAGATCGGAAAAGCTGAATAAGCAAATTCTCTGATGAGCGGGGAAGGACTTGCAGACGAATACTGCATCGGAAAATCGACGTTTCCGTTCAAACCCCCCTGTGTTCGGTTCAAACCTCCGTGGCTGGACTTCCCGAGTGGACGCCCTCCCACTTCCCGAGTGGACGTTGTTGGGGGGCGTGTAGTGAGCAGGACTGCTGTTCGTTCTTAGGAGAGCCAGCCCGAGGCACCAACGGGGCTGTTCTTTCGAGACAGGAAGAAGCGGGTCGACTACATCCTGGTCTACAAGAAGTCCAGCCTGCAGGTGGAAAAGCGGTGCACATTCGAGAGGAACCTGCGTGCCGAAGGGCTGATGCTGGAGAAGGAGGTGAGGTTCTGTCCGCTGTCTACCCCTCTCTGAGAACAAAATGTTATGAGAACCAAATAAGGACGTTTGCTCACTCCTCTCATGGAGCCACCCTGAGGGCCACCCAGTTTTATTCCAGTGGGGAACAATGTGCCTACCGTCTCTCTTTGTCTCCCCAAACTTGAGCGCAGCTAAGAATGGACAGATTTGGTAGCCTTCCATATCAAATGAGACTCAAACCTGCTCCTAGAGTTTCTAGAAGTGGTGATTCAGTTATTGAAGTGGTTTTTCAGAAGGGGATTAGACTGACCTGCGGTGAGGTGAAAGGGTCAGGCACTTAGCAAGAGAGGAAAAGAGTTCTTCACATTTTATATTTTGCTTGTTAGTCATACAGTATGTACTCTGAAAAGTTATTGATCGCAATTGTAATTTTTCTCACAAATTCAAAATTGAAGGAACCTAGTGTCTTAAAAACAGTAAGATCTATGCCTTTCCATCATGTTACTATAACAACACCACCAAAAAGGACACAAACTGACTTTCTGGCTCTGGGAATCGTTAAGCGTTAAGTCCAGGTATTTTCTCCATTGCCGTAGAACGATTCAATCTTTGACTTTATGTCCTTGTATGACTGCTTTTTTTCCAGCCCTCGCTCACTAACAATGACATCATGTTCGTTAAGATCCACGCTCCCTGGGAAGCACTCTGTAAATATGCAGAGCAGATGAGCATAAGGATGCCATTCAGGTAATCCTTGCAAAAAAAGATCAGTGAGAGGCATGTCTGGAGTAAATGCAATAGACATAGAGGATTTATGTTTGTTTGTTAAAGTATTTCAGATGTTAATATGACCATGATGTTGGTGTATTTAATTATCATGTCTTAATAGTTTCATATTTAATTTAGTGGGACATGATGGTGATTGAATTTATATGTCATTGTGTTTGTAGTGTTTGAATTTAATTGCTATAGTCTGTTATCAACATATATCATGATGTGTTGTGGATGTGACTTAGTATATTGTGATATTGAGTAAATTCGTGTATCATGAGTTTGATGTACTGTATTTAAATGGTAAAATCCAATGTAAATAAAAAAAAAAAACAAAAACATTCAGGCCAACACTGCAAGTCACTGCAGTATTAGATCATCGGATATTGTAAGAGCCATACACCCTAAAACACCTTGTTTTCTTGCTCTTGCCCCGCGCAGCGAGCATGTTCAAAGTCCATCAGGAAGCACCAGCTCTGAGCTGTGAACAACACAGGACAGTCAACCCAAGATTAAATTCAGGAATCTGGAATATTTCAGTCTGGTGCCAAGGACAGCTTTTACCCTACAATGATCACCATGCAAAGCTATGGTTTCAACACATCATTGATGGGCAGGCATCAGTACAGAGGCCTCGGTACATACAGAGGGCGTCATCCGTGGCCACAGAGAGGACCGATTTTTAAGATTGGCAGTGTGCCATTATAAGTTTGGAGTGTACAGTTGTTACACAATGGCTCAAAACAAGATGGGTTGGAACAAATGATTGTCGTACAGTGATCTAATATGTTCTGAACTGCATTTTGGTGGAGCTTTAAGTTTTATTTTGCACCAGATTACACCTGTAATTAGTGTATGTTGATGTTGACATACAGTACTTGCTCGCTATATAGCAATGTATTTGTTGAGTTTACAGTATATCATATTGTCAGTGAGTGTTCAATGCATATGGAGAGTTCCCTCTTAGGAACACTGCAATACATTGCTTTCTGGTTGCTTTACAGAAATGCCTTTCTGGTGACGATGTCAGTACACTGTAGTTTCGAGATACCTAACAGGCACTTTCTGTTCCTTTAGGAAAAAATGTTACTTCACCGACTGGAAGTGCAAATCCTTGGGCAGGTTGGTGGGCGCTGCGAAATTTAATTCCCTGTCTAATTTGCACAGGCAAACAGTCAAATGATCATGCACATATATGCGTGTTCATGCATGCATACTGTAGGTGCCCATTAATGCTTACAACAAAAGACATTCTTCCAGCTAGCTTGCATGATTCACACCAACAAGCCTCCAGGCACATGCTCGAGTGCTTCATTGGTTTTCCATTACTATAATCCTCTTTGTTGTGGCCATATTAGCTGTGTCAGATTGATTACAGACGTTTAAACACTCTGATTCTTTCAACAAACATCACTCAGAGAGCTCACTCTCTCTCTCTCAGCTGACGCTAGGGAAATCGGGGCTGAAGAAGCTCAAAAGATTCCGAAATGGGATTGCAAGGCAGAGGAACAGCCAACAGAGAGCAGTCAGTGTGGATGAGCTTAATACTTTCCAAACTGACTCCTCGAAGTATCGAGGGCTGTGATTCCTCACGAAGCTTTTCCGATTGGAGGCTGCAGGTCCTCCCCACTGACAATAAAGTATAAAGAACTATAAAGCCTACTTTACGGACGAACATTGACATTGATTTTATTAAATCTTAGGTATTTACTTTCTGAAGCCAGCAATAGATTTCCTTATTATTTTATGATTGCCGTTTAGTTAGTACCGTTCCCTTTTCAGTTATTCAGTGAGGGTGCATAAATGTTTTCTGGACAATATTGCTAGGCTCTTAATCAGGAATGATGGGAAATCTTGGCTGTCATATCTGCCGACCTCGGAAATCCTCTTTGTAGTGTTAATAGCCTCTGGCTGAAGATTACTTTTGCTAGCGGGGCACAACAGAGAGGAACGGTGTGCACCTATTGTTTGCTTCCTCTTTGATCTGAAAGAAAATGCCAGAGAAATGTGGCTGGTGAAAACAGTAGAGTTCTACCTGGAAAGACTGAGTCAGCAAAAAATGTCCGTATTGATACACACATATTGACGGCATGGATAATATTGTGTGTATGTATTTGAAAAAAAAGCATTCAAATGGGTAGATTTGTAAGCAAAGACTGCACACGTAAGAAATAAAAGTCTTTAAAGTGGAAAGCATTCTTTTCTATGCCACAAACTAAATGTGGAGGCACAACAGCTGTTCCTGCACTATCCCTCTGGCCGCCCTGCAGAGGAAAAGTATTTTGCAGCAACAGGAGTGTGAGCAGGTTTAACCTGACAAACACTGTCCCTGTTGTGCATTAGCTGGTAGCTGGGAGGAGCGATTGCTCACAGCAGTAACAGTAGCACAGTGTGCTGCAGTTCAGACCAGGTGGGGCAGCAACACTATAAAGCAACACCCCTCATTGCCTCCCCCTGTCCCAGGTTTCAGCGGAACTGGCGGAAGCTGAAGAGCTGGCTGCCGCGCAACCCCATGCAGCTGGACAAGGAGGCCCTGCCCGACCTGGAGGAGACGGACTGCTACACCGCCCCCTTCAGCACGGCACGCATGCACCAGTAGGTCAAGCCCTCCCACCCGCCTGCCGCATCCAGTCCTCCCGTCTCGCGCCTCCGAGGCGTCAGGTGGCCACAACGGCTTTATCCCTTTACAGCAGCCCAGGCAGGGAGCTGCGTCAGAGTTGCTTAGGCAGCAAAGGAACAAGTAAAGGTCTATTCCCCACTGAAAAGAGAAGAAAAGAAACATGATGTTTCGGGTGTGGAGCCTTCTTTGGGTGTTGATGTCTTTATTCCAGCTGGTTTAGTACAGGGGTTTCAAGCTGCCACCTCTGGCACCTCCAAGCTCCTCAACTGTTCAGCCCAGATGAGGGACAAGCTCACAATAGCCCTGCTAAACTCCTCCTCAGCAAGGCAGTGGACACCTCAGGGACCGATAGGTGTTAATCTCGCTGATGCATATGGGGGACCCATTACCCCCCCAATCCATACACAGTCAAGCATCCAGGCCACTGGCCAGCAAGGGTAGCACCCTGTGACACAGATAGGAGGCCAGGTGCCCCCTGGGAGTCCCAGGCAGTGACATCATCATACCATGCATTTCATTTTCGCTTCTCTGAAGCCAGCTGGAGGCAAAACGTCCTACTGACCAGTTTTACACCAAACATCCTGCGTCAGTCTTGGCAGCAGACAGAGGGAAGACTAAAAAATAAACTCAGTTAAAATAAACCAAGTGATTTCGTTCTTCATGCCTGAGTTTTCAGACGTTATCACTGCCCTTGATTTTGATGAGGTTATTATTGTGTCGTGAACTGTTTGCGCAGGAGATAGCTGCTTTTCCAGGAGAAATCAGGCTTTCTTCCAGCCCCTTGTGTTCCCCTGTGTGGTTGAATTGTTTGCTGAGCCACTGTCAAGCCTGGCTGGCCAGTCCGGGCAGAGATTCTCTCTTTGTGTTTCCTAAGTCTGTGATTCTGTTCAGAACATAAAGCAAAATGGCTGCCTGGTAACAAATGTTATGGGTAGGTTCTGGCTTGCTTTTCAGCTGTTACACAACTGCAGTTATTTAACTACGCATCTAGCTAGAACAGGCTCCTAGCTAGAACAGTCATCTGGGTCCCTCATGCTCTGCTGTGCTGTGAGCTCCAGTTGTTTCGTTCTTTCTAGCACCAATGAAGCTTCTGTTTTCTGAATTGAAAAAAACCCTGGTAATGGTCCTCCTGTTCTACTTTCATGAAGTGTCTTGCACATCCAGGCTCATCACCTAACTTCAGTTAGACAGTGGCTGTATGTTTAATATTTTGCTTTCAAAATCCTGCTAACAGACTAAAGGTTAAAGGATCGTAAAGCAACAGGATTTATTTTCCCCTTACATTATTCATTATTCTTCAGCGTCAGAGCAGCACTGTATATTAATTCCCTTTTCTAGCTCACTGTCTTTCTGCAACATCAGGTTTAGAAAAGCTGGCCACCAGGAGTCACTAGTGCAGGCACAGCCCCTTAGTCCAGATATCACTGTCCAAAACCGTCTCATTAACTGGCTGTAATCAGGATTCATAAAGCTTTGACAGAGAAGGGCGAGCTGGAGCTGTGAGAGTTTTGGTACTCTCACTGTGCTATGCCTGTGGTTTGCTATGCCCCTCTGAGCATGTAGCGTTAATCATTGAGAGCTCCATTCAGTGCTTATTCAACTGCAAACACTCTGGGCTTGTAGTTTGTTGAGTGAGAACTGCGTCAGTTCTCCCTTCAGTTCAAACTGTGCTGTTTAAGACAAGCTTCCACTTTTAATTAAGATACTTGTGAAAATGGAATGGAGATGTTTCACAGATGACAGAGCATGACTGAGGATTGACACCACTGACAGCTTGCAGTCAGAAACCCAAGTGTGTCTGGATCACAGGGATCACAGGATATAGGCAGACAGATGTGGGTTAGTCAGTGCAAATAGGCATGTCAGAGTGTTTCTGTGTTCTCGCCTTGGTACGCTTTTCCAAATGTGATTCATGCAACACAGTGCTGTTCTAAAAATGGAAGGAAACTAACTGAGGAATCAAGGTAGAATTAAAGATTGCGTTCATTTTCTTAGAGTTTCAGGAATGTAGCACACTTAATTATTTTTTCAGAATTTAAAACCTTGATGTGCAAGCTCTCAAGAAGGATATACAGTAATTCTTTCTCTTTAGCTGGCTAAAGAACTCTATAATTCTCTTTCAGATGGCTCCATACAAAAGGACTGAAAAAATTTCAGCTTTTCAGGACCCTAAAAGGGTTTCACAAATGTGTCCATTTGTATCTCATTCATTTTCAGCTTTACAATCAACAACAAAGAAACATTCTTCTCCAATTCCACACGAAGCAGAATAGTTCACCATGTCCTGCAGCGTACAAAATATGAGGATGGGAAATCAAAAATGGGTAAGGATCTTCATCCCAGGGCTATAACATCAGCAAGAGGGGACTGTAACATCAGAAGGATCCTGTTAGAGCAGGATGCAACAAGTGCAAGAGCAGACTTGTTGTTACAGCTACTGTAGTAGCTGTAATACAAGAGCTGTAAGAGCAGACTACAACAACTGTAATACAACAGCTGTGAGAGCAGAATAAAACAGCTGTAATACGACAGCTGTGAGAGCAGGCTACAACAGGTGAAAGAGCAGACCAAAATACAGTAGCTACAATACAACAGCAGGTGTAAGCATAGACTACAGCAACTGTAATACAACAGAATATAACAGCTGTATTAACAGACTACATGTGACAGGACAGGGCTTTTTGCTGCCATGTCCAGGATAACTAAATGACTCCATGTTAACTGGGTGCAATTTGGGACAGGTTTTTAAAACTGCCCTTAAATAGAAAGACATTCATTTGTCAGTTCTGAATTCTGTCCTTTTCCGAGATGACTTCTGCAATATACAAGTAGGTTATCCTGATCACTTCTCTATAAATCCCATCTTGCTTTAAGGTGCTTGATGAGTCGTACAGCATGTTCCACCAAGGTATTAAGGATACTTATAAATCTGCCCTGACAACATGCTGTACATTTTTAGAATGTTTTATGGTTTTTATATCTTACATTTATGTTTTGTTTTCAACATTGTAATTTCTGATCTTATTCATGTTAATATGTGCTTTTTCATATTGAGACGGTTTTTTAGAGGCAGTGTAAAAAACACTGAACGATCAGAAAGTCCAGGCTCAGTTCTATACAAGCTTTTAGCTCTGTCGTGTTTTTCGTTTCTCCTTTGGGATGGGCTGTACAGAGTAATTTATTTCTCTTTGATACTTGGCCTTACATTCACTCTTTCTGATATTACATTGCATATAATGACTCAGTCATGTGGGGTTGTAAAAATCTAAAATAAATGCCAGACTAACTTCAGACGAGAAACAAATTAACTTGATTTAAAGTCTATAGTGGATGAGCGAAGTGGTTTTGTCATTGACGAGCTCGCCCACCTCTAGCCAAGTCATTTGTCCTTGTACCTGGTAAAAGAGCCCCGTATTATTATCGTTAAAGCCTCCTTGTCTTTTTGTGTACAAAAAACACTGTGTTCTTTTATCACAATGTAGGTGTCAACCGGTTGCTAGGCAACGGGACTTATGAAGCCGCCTTCCCACCTCACGAGGTAAAATTACCGGGCTTTTCAATCAGGGCTGAGC